GCAATAGGGAAAATAAAGCTTTTAAATTGAATTCCAAAATCACATGGGAGCTGGATATAAGTTTTATCCATTTCCACATGGAAATAGATGATTATTTGGAAATTAGAATTTGGAGAAACTCATAAGAGAGTGGATTCGACTGTTAAGACTTGGCAAAAAAGGTTCCTGATTGTCCAGCTTTATGTGAAAAGAATTATGTTGTCGATTTTACAAGATTTTTCCTTGAAGTTTAAAATGCCAGTAATTTTTGCAGGACAATGTGTGAATTTATGTGCATTTGATATTTTACTTGCGATTAAACAAAATAAAATTAGAATTATATTAATAAATCTAATTTTCTTTATTCTACAAATACAAATAATAAAAGATACAAATAATTTGGGTCTATTACAGTCACACCTCGTCCTATATGCAAAGTCGTCTTATATGTAAGTAAATACAATATATTTAACAAGATAGTCGTTTACTCTACAGATATAACAGTCTGTTAGCCAGTTTCTTGTTTTAATTTTTACTAAATTCATTGCAGAAAAACTATTCACGTACATAAGTTGCAGAAAATAATGTTTGAATTTTTGCTGCATACTTCCTTAAGCTAAGAAATTGATATATTTATTCATATTTTATGCAACATGGGCTGCAGGTTATACATCCCTGACTTATATAATGTAAAAAGTTTGTGTATAGTATAGAATATAGCAAAATTTTTAAAAAGTTTTCTCGATTGCTCTTCTTTACTTATGAACAACAATTCCATTTAACAGAATAAAATAATATAAACATAATTTATAGAATTTCATTAACTAAAGAAATATGTTTGCATTTGTCAATTCATTGTCAGCTATACAATGGAGTTAGAAAGAAAAATAGTTTAATAATCTAAACATATCATACAGAGTAACTAAAATGCTTTTGAATGGATATAAGAAAAGATAAACTTCATTTGAAACTAAATTTTAAATTGCTAATCCTATTATTTATTGTAATGATTTTTAATTGAACATTTGTACTTAAAAAGTCTGCCAACTTTATAGATTGTTTAAGTTCACACATAAAACACATTGAAAAAGTCTCAACAAGTCAAAAAATATTTAATATGTTAATATTTTTAAAAGAGATTCATCCAGAGATTTGAGCTAAACCCATACTGGAACAACAACAGGAATGAACCTGCATCATTAAATCAATATTATGACCATACAAATAATTTGGGTCTATACAGAATCATATTGATTTAATCAACAAATTAATCCTTGGAACTTTGTTAATAATGTAGAATCTGCATCATTTTTACTGAATTGGAACTGAAACTGAATCAGTGAGATAAGAATTTGTTAAAAGCAGAACCAAATCAGTTATTTTGATCCAATTTGAATTAGTTCATCAAAATGCTTTTAAAGTGATGAGATTAACTATTAATATGGAACTAAAGATGTAAAGAATATCATATGTTGATTTGAAATTTGGCCAAACTACTGTCAATTATAAGGCAGGTCCAACCTGTAGTTATCATTACAAAATGCATAATTTATGATAAATCACCTAATCCAGGAATACTTTGCAAGCAGCAAGTGACTATTACTTTTTGTATAGGATTAGTCAAGATTTAATTTTTCTGTTTACATTATTTATAATTATATCAAACAGCAACCACAATACTTAGAAATAAGAGAAGCTTTATTAACTTACTGAATCTTTCAAAGCTAAAAATCCATGACACATCCACCTACGTGTTGTTCCATCTCTACATATATATGAAAATCCCCTTTCGTGATTTCGATCAGGTGCACAAAATGAAACTTTTTCAATAGTTTGATCAACAATTAATCCCTATAAAAAATAATATTTATTAATTATAATTTTGATTAAAATTATTAAATGTAAAATATAACAATACTAATAAAATTGTGCTGAACTTAATTTTTAAATCTATATCAAGTTTGGCAAGTAATAACAATTTATTATTTTCATCTAAATTTTTATACAAAATATATTGTATTTTTAAAAATATTATATACTTAGTGAATTGAAAAATTAATGATTCAAAACTAATTTTAAAATTGTTACTTCTTTATTACATTAATAAACTGCTGTTAACTAATGAAATATATAAAGTAAAGCATGATATATTATTAAAAACGATAAAATACAATTAAATAAAAATTTTATATTGAAAAAACTTCTGCCAGAGTTTCAATTTATAGTATTTCATTTATTGATAATGTCTAAATAAAACAAAAATCAAATTATGTCTTTACTAAAATAAGAAATTACTGTGTCATTTCTTTATTATGTAAGTTATATATATTTAAATTTCATAACATAGTAATAAACATTTATTACAGTTGACCCCTATAACGCGGGTTCATATAATGCAGATTTGTATAGTGCGGCGAAAAAATTACGACCATATTCGTATAAAGACACTAAAAGATACTCGTAAAATGCGATAAAACATCATCACCGACTCATGTCACAACAGGATTGGTTGAATCTGGAGCAATAATGGACGAGCAAACTATTTACATGCTATGGAGAGTTTAGGCGGGTAAGTTGAGTTTACTATCGTCTGTACAGTATATAAATTAGGTACTGTAAGTCTAATACAGTACTGTAATTTTATACATTTCTTGTGAAAAAAACATTTCTTATTCAACAACCATAAAAATTATTTCTATTAATGATGTCTCCAAAGTTCAACGAATTTTTTCACAGAAAAATAACTTATCAAAAAATGCGCCCAACGTTCGATGCACTGCTCCGCGACGAAAATAAGCTTAAGCAATGGTGTTGTCGAACGGTGCACACTTGGTAAGTAATCCTACAATTTTTTGTTTATAGCATAGTTTATATGGATTATTCACAAAAATTATACATGTTTTGGAAATGTTGAGTCAAATTAGTCTAGAATTGATTAATTTTATGGAAGAAAACCTTTCAAACGGCCGTAGTCCGTAAACTGCACACGTGCCGGGCTGTAATTGGCTCATGTATTTAAGGATTCCTACAATGTGAAATTCTTATAAAGTGGAACGCATCTACCACATTATAGGGGGTCGACTGTATTTCAATATCAAATAGTTTCTCCACTACATGATATTTTAATAATCTTACAATTTGATTCTCTTTGTAGTTTCAGTGTTTATTTATCAGTTGCATAGTCATATAAACAAACAATACATTATGATAATTCTATTATAAAATATAAATTATTATATTCACTAAATTATCTATATTTAGTGTATAAAATCAAATTAACATGTCTGTCTGGCCACATATTATGCAAGAACAACTAAATTAATTTATATGAAATTTTACACATATATTCAAAATAGCCCTGATCTTAGACTTTTTATAATATGATATTTAAAATCAACTTTTTGATTAAAAAAAAAATCAAGTTTCTACAACATGAAAGGAGACTTAATAATTTTATAAATAATGATGAAAAATTTGATCTATACATTACAAATAATAAAATAAAAATTTGATTATCAACTAGATAAATGAGGATCAGCAAATAAACTTGATTGTAAACTATTCAATGTTTTGAGTAAAATAAAATTTATAGTGAACACTGAAAATATAATTTATTATAACAATATTTTATAACTTTATAATTATAGATCATTAGGTTGTTTTAAAATCAATTAATTTGTTNAATACAAATAATAAAAGATACAAATAATTTGGGTCTATTACAGTCACACCTCGTCCTATATGCAAAGTCGTCTTATATGTAAGTAAATACAATATATTTAACAAGATAGTCGTTTACTCTACAGATATAACAGTCTGTTAGCCAGTTTCTTGTTTTAATTTTTACTAAATTCATTGCAGAAAAACTATTCACGTACATAAGTTGCAGAAAATAATGTTTGAATTTTTGCTGCATACTTCCTTAAGCTAAGAAATTGATATATTTATTCATATTTTATGCAACATGGGCTGCAGGTTATACATCCCTGACTTATATAATGTAAAAAGTTTGTGTATAGTATAGAATATAGCAAAATTTTTAAAAAGTTTTCTCGATTGCTCTTCTTTACTTATGAATAACAATTCCATTTAACAGAATAAAATAATATAAACATAATTTATAGAATTTCATTAACTAAAGAAATATGTTTGCATTTGTCAATTCATTGTCAGCTATACAATGGAGTTAGAAAGAAAAATAGTTTAATAATCTAAACATATCATACAGAGTAACTAAAATGCTTTTGAATGGATATAAGAAAAGATAAACTTCATTTGAAACTAAATTTTAAATTGCTAATCCTATTATTTATTGTAATGATTTTTAATTGAACATTTGTACTTAAAAAGTCTGCCAACTTTATAGATTGTTTAAGTTCACACATAAAACACATTGAAAAAGTCTCAACAAGTCAAAAAATATTTAATATGTTAATATTTTTAAAAGAGATTCATCCAGAGATTTGAGCTAAACCCATACTGGAACAACAACAGGAATGAACCTGCATCATTAAATCAATATTATGACCATACAAATAATTTGGGTCTATACAGAATCATATTGATTTAATCAACAAATTAATCCTTGGAACTTTGTTAATAATGTAGAATCTGCATCATTTTTACTGAATTGGAACTGAAACTGAATCAGTGAGATAAGAATTTGTTAAAAGCAGAACCAAATCAGTTATTTTGATCCAATTTGAATTAGTTCATCAAAATGCTTTTAAAGTGATGAGATTAACTATTAATATGGAACTAAAGATGTAAAGAATATCATATGTTGATTTGAAATTTGGCCAAACTACTGTCAATTATAAGGCAGGTCCAACCTGTAGTTATCATTACAAAATGCATAATTTATGATAAATCACCTAATCCAGGAATACTTTGCAAGCAGCAAGTGACTATTACTTTTTGTATAGGATTAGTCAAGATTTAATTTTTCTGTTTACATTATTTATAATTATATCAAACAGCAACCACAATACTTAGAAATAAGAGAAGCTTTATTAACTTACTGAATCTTTCAAAGCTAAAAATCCATGACACATCCACCTACGTGTTGTTCCATCTCTACATATATATGAAAATCCCCTTTCGTGATTTCGATCAGGTGCACAAAATGAAACTTTTTCAATAGTTTGATCAACAATTAATCCCTATAAAAAATAATATTTATTAATTATAATTTTGATTAAAATTATTAAATGTAAAATATAACAATACTAATAAAATTGTGCTGAACTTAATTTTTAAATCTATATCAAGTTTGGCAAGTAATAACAATTTATTATTTTCATCTAAATTTTTATACAAAATATATTGTATTTTTAAAAATATTATATACTTAGTGAATTGAAAAATTAATGATTCAAAACTAATTTTAAAATTGTTACTTCTTTATTACATTAATAAACTGCTGTTAACTAATGAAATATATAAAGTAAAGCATGATATATTATTAAAAACGATAAAATACAATTAAATAAAAATTTTATATTGAAAAAACTTCTGCCAGAGTTTCAATTTATAGTATTTCATTTATTGATAATGTCTAAATAAAACAAAAATCAAATTATGTCTTTACTAAGATAAGAAATTACTGTGTCATTTCTTTATTATGTAAGTTATATATATTTAAATTTCATAACATAGTAATAAACATTTATTACAGTTGACCCCTATAACGCGGGTTCATATAATGCAGATTTGTATAGTGCGGCGAAAAAATTACGACCATATTCGTATAAAGACACTAAAAGATACTCGTAAAATGCGATAAAACATCATCACCGACTCATGTCACAACAGGATTGGTTGAATCTGGAGCAATAATGGACGAGCAAACTATTTACATGCTATGGAGAGTTTAGGCGGGTAAGTTGAGTTTACTATCGTCTGTACAGTATATAAATTAGGTACTGTAAGTCTAATACAGTACTGTAATTTTATACATTTCTTGTGAAAAAAACATTTCTTATTCAACAACCATAAAAATTATTTCTATTAATGATGTCTCCAAAGTTCAACGAATTTTTTCACAGAAAAATAACTTATCAAAAAATGCGCCCAACGTTCGATGCACTGCTCCGCGACGAAAATAAGCTTAAGCAATGGTGTTGTCGAACGGTGCACACTTGGTAAGTAATCCTACAATTTTTTGTTTATAGCATAGTTTATATGGATTATTCACAAAAATTATACATGTTTTGGAAATGTTGAGTCAAATTAGTCTAGAATTGATTAATTTTATGGAAGAAAACCTTTCAAACGGCCGTAGTCCGTAAACTGCACACGTGCCGGGCTGTAATTGGCTCATGTATTTAAGGATTCCTACAATGTGAAATTCTTATAAAGTGGAACGCATCTACCACATTATAGGGGGTCGACTGTATTTCAATATCAAATAGTTTCTCCACTACATGATATTTTAATAATCTTACAATTTGATTCTCTTTGTAGTTTCAGTGTTTATTTATCAGTTGCATAGTCATATAAACAAACAATACATTATGATAATTCTATTATAAAATATAAATTATTATATTCACTAAATTATCTATATTTAGTGTATAAAATCAAATTAACATGTCTGTCTGGCCACATATTATGCAAGAACAACTAAATTAATTTATATGAAATTTTACACATATATTCAAAATAGCCCTGATCTTAGACTTTTTATAATATGATATTTAAAATCAACTTTTTGATTAAAAAAAAAATCAAGTTTCTACAACATGAAAGGAGACTTAATAATTTTATAAATAATGATGAAAAATTTGATCTATACATTACAAATAATAAAATAAAAATTTGATTATCAACTAGATAAATGAGGATCAGCAAATAAACTTGATTGTAAACTATTCAATGTTTTGAGTAAAATAAAATTTATAGTGAACACTGAAAATATAATTTATTATAACAATATTTTATAACTTTATAATTATAGATCATTAGGTTGTTTTAAAATCAATTAATTTGTTCTATCTAAGTGTAACAAATACATTTTCCATAATTTAATATCAATTACTTTATGAGAATATTCTATATATAAATCAATTAATATAGATTATAAATTTACCTTGGTTTCATCATCAACTACACGTAAACCATCACCAGTAACATATAAAGTGCCTTTAATAGGTCGTCTTCTTGAATTCTAAAAAAGAAAAATATTGAAAACTAAATTTATTTAATAACTTGATAAACAAATAAAATAATCCTAATAAAAAGTATAAAAATATGCATTAAATAAATAAAAATTGCACATTTTATATTTGAATTATGCCTTATTCTGATACCTATTTTATGGGTTATTCATTTCAATTTATTTAAATAAATAATTATTGAAATAATAATATATATTACTTTATTGTAAATTTGCACATTTTTCATCAAGAGTATTCTATATAACTAACTAATCGTCTACAGCATTACTGAAACAAATAATAAATAAAATAAATAATTCAGTCTGATGAAACAAGAAACAATTTTAAATATTTACATGATATATAATCTAACAATAAAATATTCTTAATATAAAAATGTAAAAGCTTATTACAATGTGATCCTAATATATAAGCAGGAATGCAGAATATGATCTGATCATATAAACACAATTTGGAGGAAATTAAAGCATTCCCAGGGAAATTTGCAGTAGAAACATATTATGGCAATAGTCACCAAAGTTACAATAAAATGAAATAGCACCTCAGCTAAGCCTATAAACATTAATTGGAGAAATTCCCCAAAAAGTTGGTAAGGTCTGTTTTAAAACTGAAAATGAAATGTTTAATATCTAAATACCTGGTTAAAAATAAATTAAATAAAGTGTGTAAAGGTGTCAATGTAGGACATACTTAGGGTTGCCAGACATGCTTTTATTTCAAAGGCTAATGCTTTATTTTAGTTAATCTGCCCTTGTTTTTTATTGAAATAAGAAAGGATACAATTTGTTCTTTATTTTCATTTTTCAATGCCCATATTTCATAATTACAGTAGTGGATTTTTGTATAGGCATATGCTTATCCATATTTATCAATCGATATCCTTCCTCCCATAAAAAATTATGGTTTACGATTAAATATTTTAAAGTTTGATTTCAACTAAAATTTGCAAATATCTATAGTCAATAAAAAACAAATTTTAAGATCAATATTTAAAAAATATAAATAGAATGTTTAGTTTTTAACTAAAACAATCATTCAATTTTATTTCTTTTGGAATGGGATGGAGTGAAGTAAATGTTTTAGAGTGGTAGCATTAATCATTTTTAAGTGTTCTTTAATCCATTTATAGAAATCAGGAACCCTAGATATATGTGAGGGATGAGTTAGTCACAATTGCCAAATCATTGTTTCAATTTTTATGAAAAACTAAAACCAAAACCAAGATCTAAAAGAGCCAAAACTAAAAAATCTGTTTTTATTTCAAAACTCTTTTCATGCTGAAAACAGTTTGAAATATAAAAAGTTCACTCATTAAATAATGCTTATTTAATCAGTGAAATTGCATGTCAACATGAATTAAAATGAAATACTCACTCATCTCTGGCAGAGAAAATTTGCAAATTAATGAACTGCATTTAAAAACTTTTTCTAAATTGTCTCAATTAAATGGCTAAATAGAAGTTTTAACACTACTTACACATTTTTTTTATCTCTCATATTTTTTGTAGATATATTTTGATGTTAATGTTTTAAAATTTGTTAGAAAATAAAAAATAACATAAAAATATAATTGTATTTAAAAAAAAAAATAATAATGATCTCAGTCAAAAACTAAAAAAAACTGTTGTCTTTAAAATAATTTTTTGGAAAAAAATGCACAATTATCATCGTAAGAAATTTTGAGTTTTTGGACATTAAAAAAGTTCATGCTTTGTGCTAAAAATACATAATCTATTTGCATGATTTGGTGATAATGGTTGTTGTGTTTGAGTTCAATTTTTTTTTTTCATTAACCAACATATTACATGATGGTTATAATTCTATATGCAATCCCATGATTATATGATTAAATTAAAGCATTCTTTTAATTTAAACATTTTTACACTAATTTATCTGTTTTGTATAGAGTAGGCCTATTTGTATGATATAATTAGAATATTTTAAAATATTAATTAATAATTATTAATTCACCCATAAAATATTGTTTTATTTTGTGCTAGTGTGCAACAATTTTGGAAAAACTTTATACGGTAAGATCCCGCTTATGCTGCCTCGATATAGTGTTGTCTGCTCAAAGCCTAAAAAAAGCTCCAAATTTATGCTGATTCAAATTATCACAGCATTTCATTGATTCACATATAATATGATTATTCATGAACACGAACCAGTCAGCAAAATGTGACAATTTGTCATAGCACTGTATGTCCCTTAAATCTATGCTTATTTTGTGCAATTTTGGAAAAAATATAACATAATGATGCCATAGGAAATATCAACTTTTCTTGAGAAGAATTAACTGATAAATACAGGAATGGAATGGAGTGTGGAAGAAGTTATGGCTGAAGAAGAGCATATCATTATATTGTTAGGTTAACCAAATTGTCAACTTAATCAATACAGCAGGAGAAGGAGATGTAGACAAGCAGAATATTGAGGAATTACTGCAGTTACTGCGTCGTTGGTGAGAACCTTACCAATGACGGTTAGTAAGGTTCTCACCAACAATGACCTTCAAGAACTGGCAGAACAAGGAATTCATGTGGAACTGGAAAATAGTGATTCTGAAAACGAAGAACTCAAAGAACTTGCTACAGTAAAAGTTTGATAATAATAACCAAAATAGTTGATCAGATTGTAGCAAATGGTCCAGATTTTGAAAGGAGTGCAAAAGCAAAACAGTGTTTTGGACGCAATCTTCAGTTACTGACATTTGCTTAAGAAAAGAGAAAAAAGCGACAAATGAAACTACACTACTTTTATCACAAAACACAAGAATTTCAGAAGAACCAGGACCTTCATCACAAAAAATGAACTTTACATTTCAGCATATGTTTTTGTTATTTAACACACATTATTATGCAAATTAATATAAAAATAACTTAAAATTAAAGTAAAATCTGTTTGTTTTTGGGTGCGTGCTCCCCTTTCCCTATTTACTCTATGTTAAAATGACCTAGTTTAATGCTGTTTCATTTAGCGCATTGTCATCTAGGAACACATCCCCCACATTAAGCAGGGTCTTACTGTATATAAAATTTATGTTCTGGGCAAATTTTGGCCTCCAAAAATATTCTGCACTCCTGTTTAATGTACTTGATATATATGAGGATTCAATACAAACTGCCTTATTTTAACCTTCTTCCTGACTTAAGACAAATATTCAACACAATAAGCATTAACTGATATTTACAGGGAAAAAACATTCCAATTACAAGTGCAATGAGATTGAGATTCCGATGCACTACAATTAGATGACCCATAGGTTTCAGTTTGTTTTCTTTCTTTCAATCACACTGTTTAGGTTGTGCCATTTGTTCTAACCCAGTTGTGCAGTTAAGTAAACTTTACCTATACATTAAATAACCATTGTAATGGCAATACAATTTCATTAATTAAAAACAAAATTAAATTTTAAATCTTCTGAAACCGTGTTGTCTTATTTCTTTGATTCACTAACACAAGACGTGTTACTATTTCAACACTGCCAAGTGTTGAAATAGAAACACACCTTGTGTTAGTGAATCATAAAAACAAAATCTTTACTCTAAGTTATTTCATTTTCTGAATTACTTACTATCTGAACTAATGTTTGTTTTGCTACCAGTAATTAAAGAAATATCTGATAATTTATGTTTGCATTTCATATTAGTTCCTTTTGTATTGATTAATTACCTAATCAGCACTTTCATTTATTTGATTTTATTTTGTTTAAATTTATTAATTGATAGAAAAATAAGTGTTTTGTAGTACTTTAATATTATTTAGGAAATATGGATAGAGTGATAGGGTTATGCTGAAATGAGGTATAAATTATAATCATAAGAAATGATAAATAAACTTCTTTCTGTTTATGAGATTGATTTATAAGATTTTCAGAAACAAGGGAAAACATAATTGAGATTACACTGTAATTTAAATTAATCATTGTCCAAAATTTATACATCGAAGACAAAAAAAATCTTGAAGATTTTAGAAGAAATAAAGTTTGAGAAACAAATGATAATTGATCTTCATGTTTCTGGTATTCTTTATAAATTTTGGAAGCTTGCAAATACTGTTTACTGCATTTTTGTTCCTTAGTTTAATAAAATATTCAATGCATTTCATTTAGGGAAAAAATAATGAAGTTTTCCAAAAAACATCCTAAATATTTACTACAGAGAAATTATGATAATTAGCTACCATTATTATGGCACAAATTTTACAAAATTAAGTTTTATGTTGTATGAGTTTAAATTACTCACATAACTTAAATTACTGATTAGGTAATCAAAGGTTTTTCTAAAATAACAATGCACAGGATAAAATTTATGAGATGAAATTCAGAATTTCATCACAAATCATTTTGAGATAAAAATTGTAATTGTTTCTTTTTCAACCTCCAATGATCCATAAAACAAAGACAAATGTAAATAACAAAATGAATTTATTACTAAAAGTTAGGTACAAACATGGTTATTATTTGTCTATTTGTGGATGAACTTTAAAATCCCCTCTTCATAGAATGTTGCCACTAACATTGTTTTGAAGATCATCATTAGTCTCAAACCTCTGCCCTCCTAGTCACATTTTCAGTTCAAGAAAGAGGTAGAAGTCTTCACACATTAAAAAGTTCCAAGCTAGGTGGAAGTCTGAAAGGTGAAAGACTTCCATCTATAGCCCCAATTTACTGCCAAGAGATTTCCACCCCTTTCATGAACTAAAAACGTGGGTAAGAGGACAGAAATTTGAGACTAATGATGATCTTCAAAACAATGTTAGGGCCCATCAAGTCATTGGCAGCAACATTCTATGAAAAGGGGATTTCAAAGCTCATCCACAGATAAACAAATGACTCAATCTTCATGGTGATTATGTCAAAAAGTAACCATGTTTGTACCTAACATTTGGTAATAAATCCATTTCGTTATTTACATTTGTCTTCGTTTTATGGACCATCGGAGATTAAAAAAGAAACAGCCCTCATAATATTCCAAAATTACTCATATAT